CCCCCCCACACACTGCCTTCCACCACAACAGACTTAACAGCTGCACGCAGCTCTCTAAGCATCTGGGCTGTGCTTCTTGCTGCCTCTGTGCTGCGCTGTGGTAGCATGTGTGCATGGGCATTTATCGACCAAATTATTGGTCACATCAGGCTGATTTCTGACAACAGTCAATTTTCTTTATATTGGTGCTGATCCAATATTGGACTGATGTATTGGTGCACCTCTACTTATGACATGATTAACTTGTTAATTGCACCATAAATAATAACTGTTGCATGCTCTGGCAATAATGGGACAACAAGACAAGAAGCGAACCATAAGAGGTTCCATAGCTGATAGGCTTCCTGTGCATTGGAAATTTAAAATCTACATGGTGCAGTCTCATGCAAGGCTGCGCCTCATGGCTGTCAGCCTGCTGGAGTGCAGGAAGCCCATTACCCTTTGGGCTTTCTGTGCGCTGTCAAATTGAAAAGGCACCAGGGGACGCATAGCATCAGGGACTAGTCCACAATACTACCATTCCTTCATTGCCCTTTGAATATACAGATCAGTGGGAACCCTGGAATCAGGGACTTATTCCCAGTGTTGGGCTCCCCACCTGACAAATCCTGCCTGAATTTGTGACATGGCAGGATGTGTGGTGATTTTTGGAATCCAGGATGAAATTTGTTCAATTCAATCATGCAATTAACTGAATATCTGTCAGGGGCCTTTGTTTTTCTGTGTATCAGTTTGTCCATCTGTAAAGTGTGGAGCTCTGTGTAGATTAATTATTGTTGGTAAAATACTCTTGAGACCTATTATGAAAGTTATCATAATAGTGGAAGAATTAATAAAACAACAAAATTGAATAGAAACCAAAATGAGCATTCAGTGTAAATCTCAATTTTAAAAATGATGGATGCCATAATTCAGTACCTTTTAATTAATGCTGGACAATAGCAATGTTTAACTTAATTTATAAGCTACACTTTGATAAGTAGCTACACATTCTTCATGCAAAATATAGAGAAAGTGACTACATTTTAAAGAAGCTGTGACTTCTAAATGAAGATGAAAAAATAAATTGCACCTTTGGTTTTACCTTATTATTATTACTACTATTAAGCATTTATGTACTTCTGTAAAAGTATCTAAAAACTAACAATGCACAGAAACCAGCTGCAGTATATGAAATTGTACACAATAGTATTTTATAGCATAAAAATGAGGCTGTTAAAAACCTATTTCAGCTTCAGTCCTAGTATGTGTTTTAATAAAATGCTTACTAATGATACAACATCGTTTATAAACTTTTTATTTATTACAGATTTTGTAAATACCTATTATTCTGATGGTTGGTTTCGGGACCAGAATTTGCACTGGGGTGATTGTCGGCTCTAGTCTGAGACTTGTGGGGTGGGGGAGCTTCCCCACCAGGATCTTTAAACCGCACATCTTGCCAGACTGCTGGGTGCAGGTGATCAAGGCTCTCAGTAAGAGAACTGAAGGACTTTAAAGCCAGAGCTACCCCTTTAAAGCCACGACTGTCAGATGTGGGGTTTTGACAATCAGCTGTTAGATTCAGGGCTGCCTGTGAATCAAGAACTGGACCTAGGGCTGTGCAAACTGGGGCTGACAATCAGCTGACTATTAGCCCTGCATGTGGGGCTGCTGTACCCGGCTTTCAGTTTATCATAATCTCATGCACCACTCTGGTCTGACAAGTAGTAATGGTGCAACTGGTACATTACTGGAGGTGTGGTTTTTGGGATTGGGCATCAGATCCTATTGCACCATTAAATCAACAAGTGCCAGAGGCCTGAGATTTTAGCTAAGGGGTGTGAGGTTTTTTTTTCTTCCCCCAACTACACTCTGTGATGAAAACTTCAACTCGTATTCCTATTTTCCTTATATTAGTCTCGGGTGGGGGGGAGGGGTAATGATAGCTGACAGTTTTCTTCCTTGTACATACACTCATTAGCAGAGTGAAGCATTGTATATCTGCTATAATTTTTCATGGTAAACCCTGCACCAACAAGTTCAATCTCTGTCTGTCTTGTAATGGATTGATTCCCATTGAAAACAAGCATAGTTGGTGCCTCTTCTGCCTGTGGAGAACCACATTCTCAGTAAATGCTGTGTGCGCCAGTTTTTCTGCTTGAGGACTGACGCTTGGCTTATGTAACTTCTATGAGAAGAACAATCCATATGGGTTTATCTGTAGAAAAATCTCAATGAGAATAAGCTAGCTTGTGTCTGTTTTCCCTCAAGCTCATGCCTGTGTTCATTCTACTCCGGTAAGCTGAACTACTTTCAACTACAAAGAGGTGAGAGGGTTTTTTTTTAGTTTCTCCCTGGATAGTTCATGAATAGCACTGGGCCTTCTTCACTCAGTCACTATCTGTATAGCATTCCCTTAAGGCAGGTGTGGGAAAAATATGGCCCGTGGGCTGGATCCAGATCATGAGCTGATTGGTTTCGGCCTGCAGGCAGATGCCCACCATTTAATTATATCCAGCCCACGACTGCCCCTGCTGCAGCCCGTATGGAGCTGATCTCCCAACCTCACTCACCAGAGGGCCCTGGCCCCAGCCCACAGCTTCCCAGTGGGGCTGCTGCTGCTGCAACAGCTGGAGAGCTGCTTGGCTCCCCCTGCCTCCAGTGGTTCCTCCTTTTGTCCCTGCTGCAGTGCAGACAGCAGGTAGAAAGGGGAAGCAGTGGTGGGTGGGACAGGTTGCAGACAGGAGCTCAGGGCAGGCTGCTCCAGGTGGGAGCAAACAGGGTTCAGCCCCATGTGGAGCATTAGGGAGCAGTCGTGGGCCAGAGGTGAGTGGGGGGCGGGGGCAGACTGTACCTACATCACACTGGTGAGCTCTGCTGCACATGGCCCCTGCCCATCCCTCCCCTCACCCACCCCATGCCAGCTCCCAGGACCTAGTGCTCAGGCAGCCCCCCACATGCAAATACTTAACCCACAGCCCACCACACATGCACCTATCCCCCAGCCACACACAACACACTTCCCACATACCTCTCCCTCACAATATACAAGAGTAAGACTTTATTTTGAGCTATTATGCAATTGCTTCAGTGTAGTGTTGCTCCTGAAGAACTCAGGACCTGTCTATCCTCACCACTTTGGTATTATAAGCACAGATCCTGGTTTTCTCTAATTAAAAAAAAAATCCCCACTTTTCAGATTTAAAAAAGTCCAACAAAATCCACATTTTTCCATGATTAAAATGAAATGCCACTAGTATACATATACATCTGTAGTGGTTTTAATAATGGAAAAATGTGGATTTTAATAATGGAAAATGTGGATGGGGGGTATATCTGAAAATTTGGGATTTTTTCTTTTTTATCAGAGAAGACCACCTTCTACCCCTTTCCCTGGTTTTAAGTTTCAAACTGCAGGGGAATGCAAAGAGAGTCACAACTGTTTCTTCCCTTTATGTCCTTGCATGGGAATATGGAGAGGTGTAAAGAGACCTGTCTATGCATACAGTGAGTTTGGCCCTAATTATGACATCTCATAAATCCACAGGTACTGCAGGGTATATTATCATTCTTTTTATAAGATACAAGTCTCAGTAAGTGTAGCTTTTGAGAAGAACATCTATTGATTAGATTAGTACAGGTTTTCCTCGCTTTATGCTATACATGCATTCCTGGAAAACGGCACATAACTCAAATTCACATAAAGGGGAACCCACTTTACAAATGCATCCCTAATTTAACAAATAGGGATGCATTTCAAGACCTCGACTGTACTGATGGCCCAGCCCCATTTCTACTACTTTTACAAGACGATTTTGGTACTCGCCAGCAGCAGACAGTACACACAAGCACGCAGTGGTGGTGAATGTTAACACGATGGGGATGGCAACTACAGAAACACGTGTCGCAGGTAATGAGCAAGGAGCACATATCCACACAGGAGGCTATATTTTGGTGCGTGTCAGTCCCACAGTGCACTGCACAAAGCAGCTAACTTTGGGCTTCCACCACACTGATCGCATAAAAATGAATTTAGCTTGCATATAACAAATTTTTGATATAAAAAGGGTCATCGCATAAGAGCGAATTAGCTCATACGGAACCCACATAAAGCGAGGGAAACCTGTATTCCTTGCTCACCTTCCCCCTTTGTAGGGAAAAGGGAACAGCCCAGTACTTGCTGTATAGCCACCACTAGGGGATGCTAGTGTACTCTCCAACAAATACCACTTGTCTGATAAATTATGAGCGTTTACACCATTTGGTGTTTTAATTTACTGTCTTTCAGTATATTGTTTTTTCATCCTGCCCTTTTAAACTGTATAATGTATTAAAAGTAGGCAGTTACCCTTGAGAACAAGGGCTGTATATGAGTTTTTGCCAAACTAGTACCGTAAGTAGAAATGGAACTTATTCATGTTTCTGAGTATCTGGGTCATCTAGTTATGGTAACGTAGCATAGTATAACTACATAATTGCCTGTCTCTGCAGACTCCAAAGTAACAATTTGTCAAAGATGCTTATTCACTTAAATGTGTGTGGTGGGAAGGAAAACGTGCTTACTCATGACTGAATGCTCTATTGACCATGAATTTATCCAGCTTACAATTGTCTCTCTCTGTGTAGAACAGTTGAAAAGTAGGGTTGCTGCCAACTATACGTCATTTTAAAAAGTACTATACAAGTATGACTTTTTAAAACTCCATTTAATTTGAAATTTATTTGTGTCCCTTACCAGCCATCCTTATTTTAAGACCTTTAGTCTAGTGAATGCTTTGGTTATACCCTGTGACATTCACTGAATTAGGGTTTGACTCTGTCTCTATATTAATAAAATGCATAACACAGAATTTGTAGAAAGAAATATATCCTTCACTCATAAAATTTAAAGACTTATAAATGAATCTCCTAATCTAAAAATAAAGGTTAATAGTGCTAATAAAGTTTTTATAATTTTATGTTCATTTCATAGCTAAGGAATACCCATAAAATGACTTCCATGCAGTGTGTAAATGGTATAATAAGCAGAAGGTTTTAATTAAGCCTTTATTACTGTCATTTTTTAAAATGTTGAATTTTCTAACGGTTTAATGTATTAACTTGGAAGAATGGTCACAATTAAGACATCTACTTATTTTTCCCAAAGAAATAATAGCATTCCAGGAAGAATTCAATTTATTCAGTTAATCTTTTTTTTTTAATTTGGTACAATACCTATTTTAATTAACAAATGCTTATTTTAAAAGAAATTCAAATTTACTGTTGCTATATTAAGTACAGCTTTGCCAGTTAAGTAGTGTCTAGAATAAAGTGTACAAGAAAATTACTTCAAGTTTAGATGTAACCCTGCTTTTATAAGCATTTTATACTGATTATAACTGAATCTGCAATAGAACGATTTTACTGGTTTAACTATACAAGGATAGATACACAAAAAAAGCCCTGATAATGTAGACAGGCCTAATATGTGGGACTAGGCCTTTTGCCCAAGATCTAACAGCATAATTAAAAGTATGCTTACCCAGAAGCATGCAAGGCAGTCCCTGTTATTGTCCCATTGAATGAGCATATTCATTTTTAATTCCTTTATAGTGTTCACCTTGTGTAACCATTCAGTGGAAGTGATTACTACTCCATTTGTTTTTTCATAGGTTGTAGCTTAAAACTATTTGGATTCAAAGTCTTTATTTAAACTCAGTCTTGTGTAGTATCATGTAATGAAGCCTATATGCCATACAGTTTAACAAATCATGTAACGTGGCTTAAAATCCTCTAATCCTCCAAACCTCACTTAAAACTGAAATAGAAAAAAGCCCATGGAACATAGCGAAAGCAGTTGTTTGTGATCACTTTTGTTTATTATAATACAAATGAAATAGTTTTTATTTGTTGAGTCCCAAATACAATGTGAGCACATCTTCCACTGACAGACAAGGTTCTTTGAGTAAATGTGATATCCTTTATTAGACCAACTAAATAGTTGGAAAAATTGTTCTTTGCAAGCTTTCGGGCACAAACACCCTTCTTCTGGTACAGTGAGAGTCTGCTGGTGTTTTGTGTTCTCCATGATGGAATAGAAGCTAATATGAAAAATGCAAGTCTGTGAAAATACAATTCATGGCAGTTAAGTATCAGAGGCGATGGGAGACAAGGTGTGAGACAGACAGGTGTTGGGGGAAGAGGGATATGTTGACCTAGTGATAGAATGTAGCTGGTAAATGTAGAGAAGTTACTTGGGGTTATCAGATGACAGGTAGGTTATAATGTGCCAGTAATCCAATGTCTGTATTTAGTCCATGATTTTTTGTATCCAGATGATCTATGAAGTGGAGTTCATAGACTCATCTACAACAAGTGTTTTTTATAACACAGCTGCTGTGCACTGTCCCAGTTTTTAACTCCTTTCACCAGCAGAAGTGGATAATCTATGAACATTTGTGTGTCTCTAAATAGATAAGACTATTTCTAAAGAATAAGAATTTTTTTCGTAAATAATTATTGGTTCGGAATAATTGCCTTTTAATTTCTGATTTAATAACCAGAGTTTAAAGGCCCAGAAGCTTCCCATTACCATTCTAAGAGTCAACAAACTAATGTTTCCTCCTTATGTCAGTTATGCTTTGCTTTTTGTAATTAGTTATATTATTGTTTGATCAACAGGGATGCCCTCAGACTTCTGCAACAGCAACAGAAGAGCAAAACTACTGTATCGAAACCTATGGTTTCTCCTGCCCCTCCCCAGCCTTCTGCAGTGCCTTCGGCGCCACAAACAACAACTGTGTCTTCTGCTTTCCCAAGGCCTGCAATTCCACCGATATCTACAGCAGGACAACTTGGTGTACCGGTAATATTAAAACACCATTCTTCTATTCCAGTCTCAGCTTGCATTTCATTTCAGCTAAGAAAGGTTGCTGCTATGTTTTGTTTGTTTGTTGGGGCTTTTTTAGTGGAGAGCAAATTAAAGACAACCACGTTGAACTTATTTTTTGGAAAGTTTAGGCGGCCTGGAATTTAGAACTCCTGAGATGAATTCCCAGCTCAACTAAAGATTTACATGATTTTTAGGCTTGTAATCTATCTGTTCTTCCTTTGTGCTATAGATAAAGTGCTTTTTTTCAGCTGAACTTTTATATACAGGCTGGTTGCAGATATGAACTGCCTTCCTCCCCCAAAAAGGCACTTTACTTAAAATTTGGCACACTCCTGCTCCAAGCCGAGTATATGCCCAGAAGCGGCAGTACATTAGTTCAACCGGGGTCTGCAGCATCTAGTTAGATTGGATGCTTTAGTGGGGCTTTTATGTAATAGCTGATTGAATCAACTTTAGATAAAACCACCAAAAAGCCCCTCTGAAGCGCCTGATCTATGCAGATGCTGCAGAGCTGAGTCACTACCACGCTGCTGCTTCCAGTAAGGCGCTTTTGTTTTTTCTCCATGTCTGTAAGCAGTCACAGCATACCAAAGCTAGCTGGGAATTTGCCCTGAGAAGTGAGGTAAATTAGCCCACGCTGAGCTCTCTGCAACTGCAGCTAGTCTGCCCCCAGTTTCTTGAATTTCACTACATGACATACACTGGGCTTTTTTCACACACCTTACATTGGCTCAGTTGAAATGACTTAATTTGGCTAAAAGCATCACTGATCACTGGTACAAAGACAGTTTAGTATCTTTAGTCAGCCTACCACAGTTAAATTAAAGATGCTTAAAAAAATAAATCCACCTAACACCATTTTAGTCTACTTAAATTGGACTAATTAAACTGAGTTTTTTGATAAAAATTGGTTTCTATTTTTAGCTTAGTCAAGAGGCTAGGATTTCTTAGGGTAACATCTTTTATTGGACCAGTGGCATACTTGGGATGCAGTTTGACAAGCTTTCAAATACAAGACATCCTTTATTCCTAGTCAATCAACCTAATTGAAAAATCACCTCTCTTTCCTAGCCGTAGTATCTGTTTATTCACATGTAAAATAGATATACATATCTGAATCCTTGTGAAGTGCTTTGCATTTCTGGTTTATAAACAGCATACGAATGGAAAATTCTCTCAGTAGTGATTAAAAAAAATGGTCATGAAATCTGGTGTAGAGTAAATTTTGAGTTGGATAGAAGAGTGATGCTGAGAAATTGATTAATGTGTTAAAAATGGCAGAACTGTAGACTTTTTTTTCCTGAGTATTTTGGTCTGTAATGGGATAAGTATCAGAACAAGTTTGTGGGGGTTTTTTAATTCCAGGCCTATTTTTTTTTCTTTAATCAAAAATCCTTTTACTTCAACTGTATAGTACTATGACTGTTGTATGTATTTAGTATAGGTTCATTACACAATATATACTGTCCCATGAGCAACTATTTCTTCCCAAATTCTCCTGTGCTTCCTGATTAAATATCTTTACTAATATTACAAGGAATTGCAAGAAATTGTTTCCATGAAAATTTTGTGAGTACCAAATTATGACATGAGTGAATGAATCTGGTAGGACAAGGACAGATTGATGACAAAAAAAATTATCTTAAATAATCATCTGAGGGACTGACAAATTGCTAGCTTACAGAGGTAGTCTTCTCTTAAAGTGGGGATGGAGCAAAATGTTATGTAACGGGTTGGATCTTTAGCTGGTATATAGAGCAGTGCTGATTTACATCATCAGCTAAGAATGGGGGCTGGTATGTCTGAAAGTCTTGTTTGAAGCACTCTGCTAGAACTCACTGATAAAGTCAGTACATGGAAGCCTCACCTCATTGGTGGAGAGAAAAATATTAGCAGGATAATAATAATAGCAGTTGGTTACACTTTTACTGTATTTACTTGAATATAAGATGATCTTGATTATAACGTGATCCCCTCCAATAATTAGATTCTATATATGGAAAATGTATACATTAGTTTATAATTTTCCAGGTATAGAATCTAATTATTAGAGGTTTGGCTTGAGTTTATCCCCCTCCCACTGCTATGGCAGGGAAAATTTAAATATGTGGTGGGGTCAGGTAGCCTATTAGCCCTTTGCCTCCCCCAGCTTCTTCCCCTGCAGCCCCTTTCTCCTCTCCCCATCCCCCTCTCCACTGACAGATCCTGGTCTCCCTGAGCACATGGAAGTGAGGAGCATATTTGAAAACACTGACCTTGAAATGCTGCTGCTTGCAGACATGAACCCCCCCCAAACATACTTTATTTAAAATTTGGTATGCTCCTGCTCCAAAAACAACACATGCCCAGAAGAGATACTGTTAGTTCAGCCCAGCTCTGCAGCATCTGCATAGAGTGGACACTTTAGTAGGGCTATTGGCGCTTTTCTCTAATAGATTGGCCTTGAAATACGTAGATGTAACAATTGGGATGTGGGTTGTAGCTGTGTTGGTCTAGGCAGGCAAGGTTTTTTGGGTAAATCTGATATCTTTTATTAGACCAACTCAAATAGTTGTAAAAGTTCTTCTTTAGCAACCTTTCAGGAGACAAGCTTATCCAGTTTGTGATGGGTCCCTTGACCATGCCCAGCCTAGGCATATGGGGCAGTCCAGGATGTAGCATGTGAAGCTGATCCCACCACCCTTGCACAATGGGGCTGAGGCAGTGTGGCAGCTGGACTCAGCTTCCTGGCAGCCCCAGTGGCGGTGACTCCTTCTGGTCTCTGCTGCCAGTGTCACCACTGCCTCCAGACCTGGCCCCTCTGTGCAGACACCCCAGTCTGTCTGCCTTGCACCAGATGGTGAGGATGGGCAGTGTCTCCACTGAGACTGGCCTGGGACTTGTGTAGACAGGGCACACTTGGTTTGGCGGGCAAGGAGCAGCGTCTGCAAGTTGGCCAGGTGGGTGGGGCTGGGGCTGGACCTGGGCTTGTGGGATGGGTGCTGGTTCTGTGGGCATTGGTGTGCCAGGAGAGGATTCCAGCTCTGGTCCAGGTCCTGGCCCCATGTTGTCACTGTTCCACAGTCGTGGTGTTGCCTGACTGGTCTCCTTCTAGACACAGCTCCCCACCTGCCCATGACCCCATTGCATTTGCCTAGCCAGGTGTGTTGTGACCACGTGGGTGCTGGGCTGGTCTACATGGAGGCCCCGGGGCCGGGATCACTGGGTGGTGACGGTGCAGAGACAGGCCCTGGGGCAGAGTCCCTTAGGGAGTTTTGGTGAGCTGTTGTGGGGGGAGGAAGGGATCCTGACCTGGCCTGGCTGGTGGGGAGGAGTGGAGGGGCCTCAACTGCTCACCAAAACTCCTGACGTGGCTCTCCAGCCTAAATAATTGCTCACTCCATTGTATGCAAATGTAACACGAGGGGCTTTTTTCTCCATGGAGACTGAGGGGGGAAAAACCTTATCTTGAATTCAAGTAAATACAGTGTATTTTAAAAGTATATAATTGTGGAACGAACAGAGGCTTTAAAGATTGCTACTTGCCAGTGCTACTTGTGTGTGCCAGTCATCTTAATTTCCTTCAGCCCTTGGAGCTCAAGTACCCTCAGAACATACCGTATGAATTTAACATACGTATTATGGTGCCTAGGATCCTTTGTAATTATTCAAATTTAAATTTGGCAGGTTTGTTTCAATGAGACTAATACTCATTTTTTTTTCAGATTTTGGTTAATTACCCTTCAGTTTTATGCGGTGAGAAAAACCAAGCAACATACCCTATTCATTTCCTGGGTTCCATGTAATCTGTTGTGTAGGTCTGAAATAGACTCGTCTTCCTGTAATCTTGAAGCAAGCATGAAAAAATTCAAATATTTTGTTTGAACTTAGTCAATAACTGTTAGTATTGAATTACATTGTTTTTTGAGACTTAAGTGGTGCTGCCAGAATTTTATCCTCATATGTAATATGGAAAATATTACTTTCTTTAGGGTACGTTCACAGAAGTCCCTGCAAGCAACATCCGAAGAGTTATTGCCAAAAGATTAACAGAATCTAAAACTACTGTACCTCATGCATATGCTACTGCAGATTGTGAACTTGATGCTATCTTGAAATTAAGGAAAGAATTGGCCAAAGGTTAGTGAAAGTTATTTTTATTATTATTTTATGATGGAACAAGGAACTCATTTAGTCAAGTCTTTTCAGAAAAAAGTATTTTAATTCTGAAATTATATTTTCTGACTACATCCATACTGCAAATATGGAGGCAATTTTATTCTCCTCTATGAAATCATAGCAGCACATCTCCAGGGCCTTCATAATCAGGATAATTTTACTATCCTGTTATTTACCTTGGTAACAAATATTTACTGGCACTGGCTTTACAGTATGCAGACCAGACTGAAAGAGACTGTTACTGCAAAATTCAGCAGAAGATACGTGTGTCCTCTCCAGTCCTTAATTGTTCTTCACGCATCATCTGCTGTATTAGAGCAGTGCAGACATTTTTGACACTTCTGACATGTCTGTCACTACACTGGGAACAGCTAAGCAAAAATTACCACCTGCCTCAGCATCTAGTACATCCGATACAAACGATGTCATTCCTTGTGGTTACTGGATTCAGACAGTTCAGCAGGAGATTGGAAGACAGAGATGTTAATTCACCAACTAGCGAGAGGATGTCAAGGCAACTGCTGTTTAACATAGGGTGGCTGAGTATACAAATTCTTGCGTATATCTTCAGACTTCATGCATTTTTTCTGATTAATCCCCCAAAGAGTAAATCACATGTTTAGAATATAAACGAGGTATGTTTTTATGGGCTAAAATTCCATATAACAAATTTACATGTGGGACAGTGGGGTAATTACAGTGAAAAATAGACAAATACCCTTTGCAGCAGTCTATGGTGCTGGAAGCCTGCACTCTGCTAGTCTAAGTCAATTGAAAGCTGATCAATTCTGATTAAAATTGTACGCATACGGCCTTGCCTTTACTAGGAATAAAGATGCATTTTTTAACTCGTAGTTGATTCATGGGCCCCTGCCACATTACCAGTCTGATACAATTAATGAGTTAATCACATTATAAATAGTAATAGTGTCAGACATTCAGCTGATTTATGGTGCCATAAACTAGCACCTGCCACAAAGGTATTCCTCAGAATATATGGATCATCTTTGTAGCTTACTTGTATGGTGCCATAAATCGAACTGACCAAAGACTGTTGGGGGCCATCCCTGACATTCTGGGCTCAAACTGACCCAGGGCCAAGACTGAAACTGGCTGGGGTTAGTTCTGAGTCTAGGGTAGAGCCTCCCTCTGCCCTGTTTGCAAGATTGGGTTGGGTGCAGTTCACCAGTAGAGCTGTTTGGATCAGAGGAATTTTATGTCCCACATGTGCATGATACAGTGTTTAGGATGGGGCATAAAATTCCTCTGATCCAAATTGTGCCATTCCTTTTATATCTGCCAGGGACCATGGAATAATCCTAATGAAGAAATCTGGCCACCACCTGCCTCACCTACCAGTGGCTGTGGTTGGCAGGTGCCTGAAGCTCCCAAACCTACTATAGCAGCTGGGAGGCTCCAGGCATGGAGTGCAGAGCTCAGTGCTGCCTGTCCAGGCTAGGGCTACACAGAGCAGGAGGTGAGGCTGCACTGATCACAGCTGCCTCCCAAGACTTTTAGGGGCTGATGAAGGAAGTCTCATCCCTGTACTCTTTATTTTTCTCCAGAGTTTGCACCCCATTCCCCAGCACCTATTGGGCTTCTTGAAATGGGAAGTCCTAGACACCATCTGAGTTCTGAGAAGAGAAGTCTGATCTTTTTTGGAGCTCAGGTGGCACTCTAACAGCAGCCCATGTGGGCTGGCCAATGGCAACATCCTGAGGGATAGCCAGCATGGGTTTGTTGCAGGTAGGTCTTGCTTAACCAATCTTATTTCCTTTTATGACCAGGTGACCTATCAGCTGGACAAAGGAGAAGATATCTTGACTTTAAAAAATCTACGATTGATGCCATATATCTTGACTTTAAAAAAGCCTTCGATCTGGTATCCCGTGATCACCTCTTAGCAAAACTGGCTAACTGTGGCCTTGGCCTCGCCACGATCTGCTGGCTGGGGAATTGGCTCTGTGGTAGGACCCAGAGGGTGGTGGTTGCTGGAAGCCAGTTGTCGTGGTGCTCTGTGACCAGTGCAGTCCCTCAAGGCTCTGTCCTTGGGCCTGTACTATTCAACATCTTCATTAATGATGTGGACATTGGTATCAGAAGTGGACTGGCCAAGTGTGCCAACGCCACCAAATTCTGGGGTAAAGCATCCACACCTGAGGACAGGAGGGTGATCCAGGCTGACGTTGACAGGCTCAGGAAATGGGCGGACAAGAACCTGATGGTGTTTAACACCGAAAAATGCAAGGTTCTCCACCTTGGGAAGAAAAACCTGCAGCGTGCTTATAGGCTCAGCAGTGATATGCTGGCTAGCACTATGGACGAAAGGGACTTAAGGGTCATGATTGACCACAAGATGAATTTGAGCCTTCAATGTGATGCTGCTGCTAGTAAAGCAGTCAAAACGCTGGCTTGCATCCATAGATGCTTCTCAAGCAAATCCCAGGATGTCATTCTCCCATTGTACTTGGC